CAGGCAACATATGCAGTAATCACAGCTACCTGTATTTTTTTGTATGCAGATATTGCAACAGCAGGGTCAAGATCCAGCACAGAAATAATCTGCTGAGTGACATCTGAGGTGCAGCTGCTCAGTCCTTGTCGAAGGCTTCACCGAGTGAATTCTAACACAGTTTACGTTCAAGTTTTCCTGAAATATTAGTGACAAGTTGGGCATAACACTGCATGCTTTCTCCTCAGAAACATTCGCTCTCTGGTACGCACGACGAGACAGCACGACTGAAAACGTTTCACCTGTCAGAGCAGAAAAGCAACTTCCTTCATCTCGAGAGAAGAACATACCTGGTAAGACAGCCAATATTAGACGAGCAACAGTGAGGATAATCCCCTCGGATCTGTCACTGACTCACAGTTACAACACCGAACTGGGTTATATTTGGTGCTACGGCCCAATGCACGCAGAGAACTATCTGCTTTGTACTGTACACAAGGGAGGCTGGGGGTATTTGTATAACATGGCTGGCTGACAATATCAGAGCATATAAGATTTCATCAGACGTCTTATAGCGAGATAAAATACTTAATTAATTCCAGCGGGAAATGACAGATTAAGTCACGGTCTGTGTTGCTCTCCATTAATAGGCTTGAAGAGATGCTTTGAAAGTTCCCGTTTACATTTGTTAATTCCTGTGTAATGGGAAATTTGATCTCTCTTTTTTTTTTTTTTTCTGTATGCACTCACATTTATTTTCTTACTCTTCATTGAACAAAAAAGATCCTCATTTTTGTTTTGTCTGTTTTGTCAGAAGCTCTACAGTTTATGTAATTGCTGCAGAGAAGAACAGAAAACCTTCATGCAACTGATTAACACTTTCTCTTCACTTGAGATTAAAGCACAAGGCAATGTGACGAGGGTTTTTAAAAATCATAAATCATTATAACTGGATGGCTTTTATTGTCTAAAGCAGATACTTTAGAGGGATTATATTGAAGGTAGAAAAAGTAGAAACCTGTGATCACTTCACAAAGTTAGAAAACCTGTGATTACTGAAACAAAACTTAAATACTACTCTGATTTCCTACAAGCCTAACTGCATGAACATAGTTTTAAAATAATCTCTGAGCACCAGAACTTCCTCAGTTTTGGATCTATGAGCTGTTTCTATCTGCATTTACTGTATTTCAAAATCTGATGGTGGGACTGTGATGATATTTTAATATGACTACCGCACTAAAGGAGCAGAGTCGGCAATCTTCAGTTCATGTTTAGATACACAGAGAGAAGCCTAAAATTGTCACAGAGAGCATGAACTTAAATAAAGTTTTTCACCCTGCCCAACATGCACCATAGGCCTCCTCAAAATATGATTATCACCTGATTCTCACCTCCTGTCATGAGCTGCAGCCTCACATTATTTTTTAATTATCCTTGCTGGCTTTTCTTTACATTTAAGGCCCATACAGTGTTTCAGGTACATCTTGTGATTTGAACATTGCAGCTGCCAGGAAGCCTTTGACCAAGTGTTAAGACACATCTTAATCAAAACTTCTTTTGAGACTACGACCATCTATTTCATGAAGCGCAAGATTCAATGTATTAATACAATGCCAATAATACATTTCTAACCATTTTATGTATAGCTTGTGAAACAGTATTTATTTAGAAAGTCTTCTCTCAACCTTAACCTCGTCATCTATTTCAGATGATATATTGTTTTAAATTAATCTGAATCTGCACAATAAAATAATTAGTACCTAAAGTTAGCAAATTAATGTAGTAGGATAAAAAGAAGAATATTTACAGAAAAGGGAAATATTGCAATATAATTGTACTTATGCAGTGAATGTGCAGTATATTCCTCCGCTATTTAGATTAGTATTTTCCACTTATTCTAAATGTTCTACTTCCTCTAAAACAAGTGTATTTCTCCGCTTATGCATATGTCAATACAAGTCAATCTTGCATTTACGAAGAATGAACAGTTATTCGTAATATGTTGGTTGGACGATTAAAAATATTTTACAGACTGTTACAGCTTGTCATGCAAGTGGCTTTAGGAAGCAGGGAGCTCGTGCATACAGGTAGAGTTGTAAGCCGGTTCTAAAGCCAGTAAATTCACATCAAATCTCTGACAAACACAGCCAGACTGTGTTACTGTTTATAAGCTCTGTGTATATTAGCCCAACAGATCTTTCCGTCTGAGTTGAACTGACTGAGAAAAGGGTGATATAGAATCCATTTTTATGAAGCTGAGGCACTAAATAGCAACAGCAAATACTGGATGCCTGCAGAGCCCTCTGGTTTCCACAGTAACTAAGACCAAAAATAGTAACCCACACCAGTGGCCATTCAACACTGAATCCCCTGTGATAATACATGATTCTATTTATACCCTCTAATGGCAAAATACTCCCATGTATAAATGCATCTATCCAATTACTGTCAAAAGAGGGATATCATGGTCCAATTATACATTCTCACCTCTGAATCCTTCCTGTGTTGTCGGCCTGCATAGCATGAAACCTGAATACAACTAATGACTACAGTAATGCTGAAGATATTACATGTAAGAGACATTTCTAATGAGAACCCTGGCTGCATAAATTGGACTGTATTTTCACTTGGTGTGCACTGACAGGATGAGAGAAAAGGGGTATGTGTGTTTTTGTGTCAATGGCTGCATTGCTAATGACATAAATGTGCATTTCTGTGTCACACTGCTCACTTGTGTTGCCATGTTCAAACTGTGCAATACTTCGCTCTATTCAAGACTTTCATGTTTCCATACGTAGAAAGTCTGTCTCAAGAATGGAATATGTGCAAAATATTTGTTGGTATTCATTATAGAGTTTTATACTACGTTAAATGCATTTTCTGATAAGTTGATGTATTTTTGGTTCCAAATGCATGACAAATATCCCTCCTTTTATACTTAAAAAAAAAAAAAATCTTAAAAAAAAAAACAAAAAACAATACCGGTCACCTAAACCAAATGGCCTGGGGTCCAAACGACCCCAAAAGTCCTGAATGGGGTTACTATAATCTTCTTTCAAATGTGGCTCATATCTTTTTGCTCAGCTTTCAACATCATCTCAAAAAATACTCAGTCACTTATATTTTTATCTGTATGCTACATTCTATACACACAAACACAACACTGCTTTTCTTACAAGACCATCAAACTAATTTAATATCTACCAGCACATCAACCTTTCTGCATTTATCAGTGAAGATCAGCACACTGCACTGCAGAAGTTTTACCTGTGGCTTTTGCAGTTGTTCCTGAACAATATTCTTAAAATGAGCTGAAAGCGCTAGCTGATTAATTGACTAGGCAACAGAAAACATATATTCAACTGTTTTAACAACTGCTTAATTGTTAAAGTGTTTTTTTTCATCATGCAAACGTACCAAAGATTCTCTACTTCTAGCTTCTCCATTTGATGAGATTGTAAACTGACTGTAGCTTTGGATTTTAGGCTTGTTGACCAAACAAGCTGATAGAAGGGGGAGACCAATCATCAAACTTCAGATTCAAGGGGAGTGATGCGGTTTCCATCCTGGCCATGGACCAGTGGAGCAGCTCTTCATCATTGAGGAGTTGCTCAGGGGGTCATAGTGGTTTGACCATTGTGTCCACATGTGTTTTGTGCAGTCATGTCTCCTGGGCGACTTCCTTTGGAGGTATTCCAGGCATGCCCAACTGGGAGGAGACCTTGGGGAAGGCCCAGAGCTTGCTGGAGTGATTACATATCTCATCTGGCCTGGGATAGCCTTGGTATCCTCCAGGAGGAACTGGAACTGGGAACCATGCGTCGCCTGCCACTGCCCAACCCCGGATAAGCAGAAGACAACTGATAAATTGATGATAGAACAAAACAAGATATTTGAAAGCACCTTCCAAAATAGATATGAAAATAATTGTAAATTACAATCGTGGTTCAAAACAACCAATCTGATATATTATTATGCCTTTCTTTTTTATTTTTTCTATAGTTGCCTAAAACCATATGTGCATCAGCTGATGTTTTCCAACATTTCAAACTGCCTCTCATATACAGGTTTTCTGAAGTATTTTCACTGTAATCCAGGTTGTCACAATCTACAGCATTGTCTCTCATGAATGTGCGCATTTCTGTCACCTCAATCCCAAAAGCCTCAAAATAGTTTCACAGATATGTAAATACAATGATTTAGCAGGAGAGTTGCTGGATTTCTGACTGTTCTGTAATATTTGAAACACTCTGCTAAAAGAAAGACACATATCTATATTTAGGCTATGTAACTACATCAGTCTGCAGTTAGATGATAAGATTGTGGTCCATAAGGAGTCTAGCCTAGTATTTCTCATCATGTGCTGTTTAATTAGATATTCTTGCAGTAATACATTTGTTGATGCAACAGTTCCCTCGCTCCTTCACATACCGTAATCATTCTCTCTTTTTATGAGTTACTTGATCAGTTACCACCTGTCTGTTGCTGTGTGGTTGCATAACAGTGAAGTGAAAGAGTTTTATCTGTACTTAAGACAGGCTGTCTGACTCAGCTGGTTTGCAGTTTTTAACACATCAACCAACACAGTGTGCTGCCTTCCTGGGATATCGGAAAATCGAAACGCTGATTGGAAAGTACATTAAAAACTTACTTAAGTGGCCAATAACACCCCAGTGGGGGTGAAGGTTATATGTTAAGGACTGCCAAGAGGGGGCGTTAAGGACAAAAGGAAACAAACAGCCTTCTTAGGTCAGCTGATCGTAAACACCGTTAGCAATAATAACTTGTCTTATGCAGTGTTAGTAATCACGGGAGGCAACAACTCAGAATTGCAGCTGTAGGGTTTTCTACTCTCTAACAAAAAAAGTTATTTTAAAAAATAGATATAACGATGTGTCTCTGATTAGAATAAAGGCAAACGTAGATTTGAACTATATCGTGCGGAGTAGGCTGATTGCAATTTAGGGGTTGTACCTGAAGGCAGCGTCAGTGCTGCAGCCGCCAGCGGAGCTGCTGTGTGACGATGGTAGGCTGGAAAGACGGATGGTCAGGGCCGTCCCCGTCTAACCTGAACATGCAAGTGTAACTAATTCTTCCCCGGTTATAGTGCTGAACCAGGTTGCGCGTGTATTTAGCTTTAGGTGGTCATTAAACCTTTATTTGAAATAATGGAGGACGACTGTGTGTGTGAGTACGACTCGACCTGGGACACAGAGAGTGATGGAGACGACCCGGCCGGAGATAGCCAAACCCGTCGGTCAAGTCAAGACAAAAACAAATCTGGTTGGGCTTTAGTGACGGTACGTGCTTTCATTTCTACACAGCCAAACCTTAACGTATCAAACTCCTCATACGCTGACTTCTAACTCAATGTCTTTGCTGCCGGTGAGGTGCAGCTATTATTACCGTTACTGTAAAGCTAATGTTAGCTTTATGTCTCACTGCTGCACCCTCGCTAACTAGCCTAGCTAGCCGCTGATGCTAGCTTACTCCTGCGCTGGAAGTCGCAGACGTTTCGTTTAAATATTCATACTGGACTGCTTGTAGGGATCGCTGTTCGCAGTTTGTAATTTTTAATGAAAATGTGAGATTTTTAATTCACCGATTAGGCTCTCCTGCTGCAGTGGGGGGATAATTAGCCTGGCCTTATATGTCAGCTGCCGTAATGATAGCTTGCTACTATTACAAGCACTACAGGTCCTGGCATCATTGGCAACGCTCACTAGATTTGTCATTTTAATATGTTTGTTACCTCGCTATTGATGTAAGGCATTTCACTTGTATTTGTAGTGGCATCATACGCCCAGAAACATGAGGGCAGCTAAGGACATGCAGAACTACAGAAGAGGATACCCAGTGAGTAACAGCTGAACACCTAATCAGAAAATCATCTCACCCATCTCAGCTCAGAGTGATTTAAAAATCTAATTCTGCTCTCTGCTTCATGACAGAATCTCACAGATGATGAGTGTTCAGAGGACAAAATGAACAATCTGCAGTTCTATCTGAATAAATTTCCCTCTGCTCCTGATGGTAAGATATATTTAGATGTTCATGGAAGATGATTGTTGTATTTGAGAAAGTTATGTGTGATGATAAATTATGCTTTTTTCCCCCTCATGTCATACAGATGTCTACATTGAATCATTTCTTAAAGAGTGGAAAAATGACTACAAAAGACTGGAGAGGGTTCACTCATACATTCAGTGGTATGTACTGTCCCAGTCTTTGGTTTGTTTGTTTGTTTTGGTTGATTCCAATTTGAAGCAACAAAAACTGATAGTCTTACCTTAGACTTCCACAGGTCTGTGATACAAAGTAAGTTTGGCATAGTCAGGCTTTCTTTATGTAAGCTGGTTTGACAAAACCTGAAATTTCAAGCAAAGATAGAAGGAACAGGTTGTTATAATGGTGAGCTATGAGGGAAATAAACATGTATTAGGCTGAAAAGTGGTGTGTAGTGCTTAAGGAAAGAGAGCAGTGTTAGCAGAACAATGTTAATTGTGTCATTATTGTATTTATTTTACCACTCAGTGCACTTTCAAAGCAGACACTTATTACTAACATGGCAGCTGCACAATAGAGCTTTTATACCCGTAATGAAGGACTTATGGAAATCACTTAAATTTTTTGGCCAAGTCAAAGTGAAGTGAATGTTACTGATTGAGTAAATTATGTGGTTATTACTGATAGACTAATCAATTTTCTAATCTGTGCTCTATTAGCTACAGCACTAGCCATGTAAACAGACTTGGCAGCAAATTGCAACCAAACCTAAACACGTGTTAAGCATTTTTTTTGCATCACCTACTGAGTACATGTAGGCTCCAGTGGCACCACAACACACAATACTAACGTACAGCTCAACAAGGTTTTAGATTTTAATATTCCCTGTACGGTGTTCGCACTGGGAAATACAGTTGGTGTGCAGATTAAAAATACAGAATTTCTGAGTGTGCTGTTGACGTACACTGTCCTTCAATAACGCAGCGCACAAAGGTAATGAATGAGTGTCTCACAGCTAGAAAAATAGTTAACCCATTTGCAGCACAGCTCCAGTAACACAACAAAAAACAAACAGAAGGAATAAATGTTTTGGATGAATTCTTTTTGGAGTTGAATTCGCAGATCGATTCAGATCGAAAATAGGCATGTTAGTTTCTTGCGCACTGCATTCAAGGATTAGTGATGTACACATTTGGTATGAAGAGTTTGAGTGAAGACAGTGTAAGTTCTAGTATTGGTTTATGTCACACTAATGTCTGCTATAACATCATGCTACCTTGTTTTTTGGTAACTTTTAGATCTTTGTTTATGAATTTGCAGGTCTTAAGAATAATTTTTTTTTTTTTTTTTTTGTTTTTTTTTTTTTTTAATTTGAAATTAACCTCCAAACTCTAAAATTGCATAGTGTTCATGGGCCTAATGACCATTTTCTAGCCTGTCTTTGTAGCTCACCAAATGAGAAACGGTGATAAAGTTAACAAATAATTCCAGACATCCAGAGACTGTTTACACATTGTTGTTTTGCTTTGTTATTGCAAAGTGTGTTTTAGAGGGATGCATTTCGTGAAATAATTTTAGAGCTTCAGAGCTGCACTGTATGCAGAGTTTTTATGGCATGAAGCACCAAGGAAGTATTTTATCTTTGCGTCAATAACTAATGATGACGCAGGAAAAGCTGACATTATCTCCTTTGGATTAGATTGTAGTTTCACTGGATGTTAATTGGTTTTCTGTTGTTTCTCTCTTGAATTGTCTGCCATTGTAAGGCTGTTTCCGCTGCGAGAACCGGGGGTTAATTACATGGCTTCAGAACTCACCAAGAAGGAAATTGAGGTAAGCGTGTCATTGGAAACTAGTCTTTTGATGAACACTCAACAAAACGGTAGCAGAATTTGTCAATGACAGGCATTTTTTATGAGGGCGAAGCCAGAGTAAAATGCTGTCCAGTGAACCAAAACATCAGTGTATGTTTCATTCTTTTGCTAGAGATGTGTCATATTAGAAAGTCTAAATGTTATGTTGAATCAACCAGAAGACTTCTTGCAGCTGCTGTTTCTCAAAAATCACCTCAGTCTTCACGCGATTGATAAATTATTTTCAAAACAAGCAACAGAAGTTTACAGCATTACCTTTGCACTCTTTAGGGGTTTAAGACACTTGTGTCTTTATTATATGTTACTCCTTCTCTCTGTCCTATATTTTTCTGTCAGCTTTTAAACTGTGTTTTTGATACCGTTATCACCAAATTTAGTTATGCGAAGCAGAAGGAAAAAAAACGTCCAAGAATTATTCAAAGCAAAGCGCAGTTGTTGACCCCAACAGTCTGGTTAAAACAATTTGGAGTGGTTTTTTTTTTTGTACATTGCAATATCCGAGTGAGCACCTTCGTCATCACACACTAACATCTATTAACATTCTTAAATAAATAAATAAATGTTTGAGAAACTTAAAGCTCTTTTAATCGGGACAGTCCAACAGTAATAACATTAAACATTATACTGACTTCATGTAGCTGATTTTCACACAAACTGTCACAGTGATTAAGTTTACACGTGCAAACCTGTTGGATGACCTCAACAGTCACGTTACCTGTGTTTTGTATGATCATGAAAGCTGTGTAAATTTCTCCCAATATTTCCTTATTTTATATTTGTAATCTCTGCTGTATGTGCCCACTAGGCCTTTAAGAAGAATGAGGACGCCAAAAGGAGACTAGTCGAGTCCTATGAACTCATGTTGGGCTTCTATGGCATCCGTCTGGTCAACAAAGAGACGGGAGAAGTGAAACGTGCAGAAAATTGGAAGGAGCGCTTTGGAAACCTAGAGCGGTAAATATTACATCTTTTAATGTCAGTAATTCCCGATGTATGTGTTTTTTTGTTTTGTAATTACAACTTCGACTCTCTTCTCTTTTAAAGGAATATGCACAACAACCTGCGGATCACTCGCATCCTGAAAAGCCTCGGAGAGCTGGGCTTTGAGCACTATCAGGCTCCACTTGTACGCTTCTTTCTGGAGGAGACTCTGGTCAAGAAGACCCTCAGCAGCGTGAAACGCAGTGTGCTAGACTACTTCCTATTTGCTGTACTCGACAAGCAGAAACGCCAGGAGCTTGTGCGCTTTGCTTACCTTCACTTTGAGCCAAAGGATAAGTTTGTTTGGTGTCCCAGAAAGATCCAGAAACAATTCAGAAAGGCAGAGAAAAGAGCTGATGCTGTTGGGAATGGGGACGGAAAAGATGACGTCTGTTCACGGGGTAAAAGCAAAGATGGAGAAACAGCTGTGCAACAGAAAGAGGACGGACTGGATAATGTTGCAAAGCCTCAGAAAGGAACTGATAAAACAGCAACTAAGGACAAAAGCAAACTCTCTGAGGCGTCCCCCGAGAAAAAAACAGAAGCCGAGGCTGTCGGAAATGGAAGCGTGGAGACTGACGTTAATAGTGAAATTTTGGGTAATGGAAACGACTCCGCAGATGACGTTCATGAGATGGATCAGTCACCAAGTCCCGACACTGCGACGACAAAAACCGAACCCTGTGCGGACAGCGAGCAGAAATGTACCAACAACGTGAAGGACACCATCCAAGAAGCGGACAACATTATGCAAACAGATGGGGACATAGAAACTGAAAAACCGCCGAAGAAGAAGAGAGAAGATAACAAGGTGCTGCCAAGCAATGGCTCCACTGGGGACTTAGCCAGCGGGCAGATGGAGGAAAAAGCTGTTGCTAATAAAGCCACTGGTCAAACGAGCCCATCAGTGCAAACTCCTCTTAAGACTTCAAAACACTCACCCTCTCTGTCTTCAGAAAGGGAGGAAAAAATCCCAAGGACTGATTTCAATCAAGTGCCAGATAAAAAGGAAGAAGAGGAAACGTCACAGGAAAATGTGTCGGCAACAAATGGGTCACTGGTGAAAGCCGACAAAGGTGCGGACCAACAGACAAACGGGAAGGAGTCGGAGGATATCGATATGGAATCAAACCCCTCGAGCTCAGACCAAAACGTGGGGAATTCATGAGCAAACTGAGTGACTAAAGAAAATACATATGAACTTAAATGTAATATAGGGACAGAGTATGACTTAAAAAGACTTCCTAGGCCTTATTTCTACTATATTTGATGTTAAGGTATTGATTCTTTTTACTTTGAAGGAGTATGTGAATTGGTTAAGTCACCAAATGTGGGACTGGATAAGACTCTACATGGCCATCAGACAATATGAAATAAGACTTGTGGTGTTCCATATTTTGGTCCAAAAATCCAAATGAAAATGACCAAAAGTGTGTGCTTAATACTTTCAGACGTCCTCCATCCTGTCTGTGGCACCATACCCAAAGAAAAGGTGTAGTTTTACAGCTGTGAGGTAAATGATGAGTTAATTGTTGGTTTTGGTCATTTTCATTAGATTTGTAGACAAATAAGAAAAATACAGAATATTGCCTAACTTGTCTATCATGGCAGTAATGATGAAGACTGTCAGCAGCAGATATAAAATATCTCTACAAAGTACATGCAGCACTATTAATAATGTGTATCAATGAAATGAAGGTTTCCGCATTTTTAACACCTTAGTACTTTGACATTTGAGGATCTTTTGTTTTTTTTTCTTTGCACTGAGAAATTCGTTGGAAGAGCTTCTTTTTTTGTCTCTCTGAGCTGTTTTTGTGTGGGTAAAAGCATTCTGTGCTGGTTTGTTTGTTTTCTCTGCTGGACCCTGCTGTTCAAATGGAATTAAGACTGAATGTCATTTAAGTTATATTTCAATAATGTTGCACAGTCTGTATGTTTTCATGCAGATTTGGGAAGTAGACTTTTTGAACAACTGAAAGCCTTGCCAAAAAAAAATAAAAAAAATGTGATAAGACTGGTTGATTGTACGACGTGTGTGTCATCTTGGCAGAACTGATAAAGCTTTGGCTATAATTTAATGTCAACTGTATGTTCATTTGAATTTGGTGCAGTCCATGGATGTTTCCAAGCCGGGGTGATTTTATTGATTCATCTTTTGATATTTGCACTTAATTTTCACTATTAATTGTTGAACTTACTGTACTTACCTAATGAAATGGTAATAACTTTATATATGACGTTTTCCCCCCGACTACAAACCTGGCTGTTAACGAAGCAGAATAAAGTTATGCTATTTTCTGATTCTTCTGTGTTTAATCAAAGTCCTGTAATAGTTGATTGAACTACAGTTCTTCAGGATAACGCTGTGCTCGATGTCTGAATTTCATTCTATTCCTGAGACTCTTCCTGCAGCAGCAGCATGTAATCAGAAAGCTCAGTCTTCTTATTTCCAGTAAACACACTGCGTCTCAGTGAAGTGACTCAGAGCAGAGGAAAGAAAGAATAGAACATAGATATTGATGCATCGCAACTTGTTCGGGCCTCAGGATCGCTGTGGAGTTGAGGGTGTGAATAAGGTCAGCAAAATATATATATATATACATACATACAGTGCTGGAGTTTCAGCCTAGTGTTTGTTATTGTGTTGCCCAGTGCCAGACTCTTTCTTCTCTTTCTCTTACAAATAAACACTCCTAGCAGAGTTTGTTGGATTATTCAGAGTTTAAATATGCTTCTCCTCCATAACAAGGGACGTGCTTCTTGAGTACTTTGTTGTTGTTTTTTAAAATCTCGGTGTTCATTGTGTTTGCTTACTTTTTTTTTGTAAATAGTTGTGAACAAATTAATTAACAAAAATGTAATTTGCAGCTAATGTGATGCTGGACTAATGATTGAAGTGGATTCTTAAGCCCAAACACCAAACACTCACTTGTTTGAGCTGTTAAAATCTGAGGATTTGCTGTTTTTCTTCAGCTTATGTGATAGTAATTTGGAGTCTTTGGGTGTTTGACAACACAAATGTGAGGAGAAATTGTGCTTTTTTTTGGTGTTTTGATGTTTATTAATTGAGAAAATAAGCTGCAGATGAATGAATAAGGAGAGTAACCTTTAGTCACAATCATAGTTGGAGGACAAACAGGGAACCAAGCATCACTGTGAAACCATAGTTTTCATCCGTCCCACTTTACACCGCCGCAATAAACGCTTCCTGCTTAATGATGCTTCACGGTCAGATTACAGTGAAGAAGCCAATTTGGTCCCAGAGAGGGTATTTTACTGATGTAGGTTTTTTTATGTAGCTGAATTTGACTCATCAGTAGCCAGCCTGAGAAAACACATGCATCATTTATAATGACTTTTGTCTGGTCTGAAAAAGGGTGCCATCAGGGTTTTCTCAGCCTGGGTTTGGAGATGATACATTTACAACAGAAAACTTGAGTTACAACCTGAGGAACTGAGCTTCATTATGGGAAATGTAGCCTGTAATATAACTGAAGACTCCATCCTCATTTCACGCTTCCTCCAGTGTGTCTAGTTTGTTTTTAGCTCAGCCTTTTGGGAGTTCACTAACTTTGCCCAAGTGCAAACTACATTACTGCATCATTGTCCTCCTGTGCAGACCCCACGACTTCAAATATTTCTACCACTGCAGGCACACACCAGTTTTTAGTCAGTTCCTCATTGGTCATTTGGTATTTTTAACATTTCTAGCTCAACCCACTTTCTTTGGTGTCCGAAATGGATTCCCCTCTGCATTGCTGCCTCCTCCACCAGCGCTCCTCGCCCCCCTCACCCCTGTGTGCAGTGTGCTAGATTGAGTTCAGCCCCTTCGGCTGGAGGCTCGGGTTTATCTGGGACCAAAGAGAAAGCCATTCAGGAGCTGTGCGCCGTGAGGTGAAGGAAGGCTCCGTTGCGGACGCTGGGGGGGAGCGAGAGAGAGGACCAGGGAACCGGGGATTTGAACTTTCCGCATAAACTCGGGTGTGTGTGAGGGCGAGCGGGGAGCTATGGCGGTGTTCTCTGCTCTTTGGGTGCTCTTACTGTGCCAGCTTTTGACATCATCCTCAGCCCAGGTAAGCGTTACCAAGTGGCGCATCCCCTCCTCTCCTCCAGGCGCCTGGCTTATTTCTTCATGGTTCTTTGTCGTTTATTGCGAAAATCTGTGCATGTGACCCGCTGATCCATGAGATGATAATGAAGGCATCTCTGGTGTTGTTGATGATGGTGATGATCATGTCAGTCAGTCTTTGCAGCAGCTGCAGGCCTGACCTGCTGTAAAACTTTCCCTCAGCATTATCTCTTAGCTCAATACCGTTTATTCCTCCTGCGCAAATATCGATACATTTAAGTGACTGTGGGTCATATTTTTCTCCCTGCTTCTGTAGGCCTATATTCTAGCTTTACTCTGAGAGTGTAATTGTGTGCAGGTGGGTTTATCTTTCTCACTACTTGCCGAAGTCAGGGTTATGTTTTCCCTGAACCTGTGGAATGTGCGGATTGGAGATCAGTGCGCACAATGCCACCTCTGTTCCTTCAGCGTCCCTGACTGGGCTAAAATCTGGAGCGTACTTGGAAAGTCCTTGGTGAAATAAGTTTGTTTTGTTAAGTGAACAGTAAGCTGCAGATTTATTTGTGATTTTGCAGGAATCTTTTCGATCCTTCCTGTGCGCAAGGAGGGATTTGAAGCGTTTTTACGCACGCATCCTTTTTTATATGGTGTTGCAGGTGTTATGAAACGTTTTTATTTGAAGTTACATCTTTAGAATCAAGCTCTATGATTGCATGTCGTGAATATTGTTTTCAGTAGAATTGTTCCTTCTTTTTTTAAAATAATCCTCACATGCTTCTGCCAACATATACCAAACATTCATCACTTTCTGCTTCATTCAGTTCATATCAAACCACACACATTTCTACTTTACTGTATCAAAACAGCAATGCTTCATGTAACACAGGGAGAAATGTCTGATTTGAGCTGATTTTATATGGCAGAGGCCGGGCCCCAGAGGATCTCCAGGGCCACCAGGACCTCCAGGAGACCCAGGAAGGGATGGCACTGATGTGAGTTGACCTGCGCTGGTGCCTGCACTTAAATCTAATGTGCCTTTTATTTTTTGCCTATTTTAGATTCAACAATCAACCACAACTAAGTGGATTAAAGGTGAAAGTAGATAGATAATCCCCTGATTATATTTTTGTTTTGTGAGTAATAAATGAGTAATTTTCCTCCTCTAAAAAAAATAAAATAATAATGTTAAAGATAGATAGATAAAGATAAGAAAAAAAATAACTTTAACATTTTTGCCACAGCTTCTAGAATAATACTTGAGGTTGGTTTTTAAATTTAGATCCCCACCGAGTTTGGTAGAAAGTGTTTTGCTTGTGCACAAATGTGGCTTCAATGTTAGATTTTATCCCATTGACTCCACCCACAGCTCCTCCTATAGGTATTAAATGATAATGATGGATGTCAGGTAGGCAGGGTTTAGGTCTTAGCAATAGAGCTGTGTCATAGTTTTTTTTTTTCCAGTTGAAGCATTTTAAATTATATCTTTCTGATAAATCACTTGAGTTTCTTCTTTTGAAGATCATTTAGAATCACAAAGTATGAAGTTAATCAGTCGTATCTTATCAATACATTTGGACAATTCACTGAAACTCAGGCCCCTAAAGGACTTAAAAAGACCCAATTTACACAGATTATAAGAGGAAATTGGATTATGGGAAAGTTAAGTGCAAAGAAAAACCTCGGTAACATCAGAAAAAAACTTTGTTGAATCTTCACTTCCTAATCTTTGTTTCTGTTTGGTGTCAAACTTTCTGTTTCATGAAGAAACTCTCAGAACAGAAAAAATGTTTTGAAGATTCTGTTTATGCATGTCAGAAAACTTCAGTCGATGTTAGCTGTGGATATTTTTGTGACTCCAGTAAAGTTTGGGCACACAGAGGGTCCATTCATACATTCCCCAACCCAGTGAGACCATCTAGAGTTTCACCTCACACCTCCTCCCTGCACCTTCAGCCCCCTCTATCCAAACCAAACTGAGGCTTTTATCATGTGACCAGTCTGCAGTCAGGTGTTTGTTCTTCCACAGCCGCTGCAGAATCTAAACATTGTACAGAGCGAAGCAGCCCAGAGGATCACTGCTTCAGTCACTTAATACACTGAGTTATTGATGAATTTCAATCAGGAAACACTACTGTATCTACAGTCACTTTGTAGAAACACTGGAGGTACAGGCCATCTTTGGGCCTGTGTGGCAATTTAATTTAAAGAGCTTTAGTCTTGTGATCATACAGTAGTCTAACAACTGAACTTTGAAAATAAACAAGAAGCTGGTTTATTTATTTTGATCTCATTAACAGGGAAAACCAGGACCTGCTGGACTGCCGGGGAAAGCAGTAAGTATTCCAACAAGTCAAACAAACTCAGCTTTATTAAGGGCCTGCTTGAAAGTTTCAAGGGTGGGAAAAAAAAGGAGTTTATAAAAAAAAAAAAAAATCAAGGCTGTGTTTGGGGTTAGCTTCTCGCAACATGTCAAAATAGTAGAGCAATTTTAAAGGCTCCAATTAAAACCGTAATATTGTAATAGAACTTGTGCCAGTGTGCACATCAATAAAACAATGATACAGAGACAGACGTTACTTTTGATGTTTTATTCAATTATTAATATATGTTTTGCAAAAGAAAGCTGAAATACAACATAAAATTAGTTAATTAGTTGATTAAATTTCCTGCTTTTGACTGCTGTTCCTCTCTTTCTTTTGCAAAGTTCATCATAGAGCCTAAAGTCATGAATTTGTCTCAGTTTGTCTGTATTCTGTGACCCTTGGGTTTAGCTTTTAATTTGATGAAGTTCGGCGAACGGATAAATATATATTGTTCAATTAGGTAGATCACTACTTCATAAATCTCTGTCTTTGCAGGGTCCCAAAGGTAAAGCAGGAATACCAGGAACAGCAGGTCAACCAGGCCTGCCAGGACTTCCAGGGGTGGATGTAAGTATCCAATCATCAAACACAGTCAGTTCTTACAATAATAGCAACACACCACCTCTGTTTTTATGTGTTATGGTGTGTTAGGGTATGTAGCTGATTCTCTGCAATTGATAACTTTCTGACAATGTTTAAGAGCACGAGGCAATGATGCACAACTGTTGTGCTTTCTCGTCAGGGGTTGACAGGTCCTGATGGTCCTGCGGGCAAAGACGGACCCCCAGGTGAAGCAGTAAGTGTGTCTTTGTCTTTTGAGCTCTCTGGAATGCTGAGTATACATTTAAAGATCCACCAATCGAGTTTCA